TTTTTTTTTTTTTTTTTTTTGTGTATGTTACCACTTTTTCCCAGCTCTCACCGAACGGATTTCTTTCAACGATACGTCAAAAGATCACAAATCGTATCTAGTCGAAGACATTACCCTCAAAAATTGAAAAAATTTCCCTCGTTTCCCGTAAATGGGGGAAACCTCCAAAAAAATTACAAATTTAAAAATGGCTAATTTTCAAAATTTTAAAATGTTATAACTTTTTGAAAAATGTATGGATTAATACAATTTTTTTATAAGAAATAATATTTATATATTTCTTTCGTTCGACATACTTTTTTTTTAAATCGGACCATTTCCCTTAATACAGGGGGTTTCAAAACATAAAAATGCATATAGAAAATAGAACTTTTTCAACTTAATTTTTGAAAGTGTTCCGAAAATACTGATACTTTTATATATATCTTAAATTAAAGCTTATGTAATATACTTTAATATTAAAAAAAAAATTTAACCTCTGGACTTGTCTTCGTGGTGAAAATGGCTATCGAATGCTATTTTTGTTTGAAAATTCTCGATTTTATTTTTAAAATTTTTAACTTTATAATGCTATAACTTATTGAAAAGTGTATGGATCAGCACAATTTTTTATAAGAAATAATATTTATATACCTCTTTCATTCGACATACTTCATCTTAATCAGGATATAAATAAGGAAATATCAGATCATGTAGCTTTTGAAATAATCCACCAATTTTTTAAAATTAAACACTAACTAAAGATTTGCATCGAAGCGTTTTTTTTTTTTTGATAGTGATTTTAATCACTATTAGATATCATTATACTAGATTCAACTGTGCCACGTCACCACTATGCCGCGACCCCCCTGTACTGGGTTTTTTGGGGATTTTTCGTCAAAATACTAAAAACACGTTGAGCGATCATTAAGTTTTTTTAAAACCCTCAATTTTTCACAAAATGACTATTTTAATGTATTCAATAAAGTTAAAAAGATTCTCATTAAAATTTCGAAGATCGGCTTTTTTTTATCCACCCTAATGTATATATTATTTTACAGAGGAGAGAAATCTATTATAGACTAATCTAAAATTTTGAGAAAATTTCTTTTATGCCTGTAATTGTATGTAAAAGTGATTAGAATTTTGAATGTATTACAATTTATATTACAAAAGCAATAAAGATAAAAAAAATCTTATCAGTTTTTTTTGTATAAGTAAAATAAAATAAACATTGATTAAATATATTATTTTTTGATTTAATAAGCAACAAAACTAAAATAAATTTTAAATATAAAAATCTGTAGTCCCCTTGTCAGGTATTTTAAAATAAAATAAAAAACCCAGCACAGGGGGGTCGCGGCACAGTGGTGACGTGGCATAGTTGGATCAAGTAAATGATATCTGACAGTGATTAAAATCACTATCAAAAATAAACGCTTCGATGCAAATCTTTAGATAGTGTTTAATTTTAAAAAAATTGGTGTTTTATTCCAAAAGCTACTTGATCTGCTGGTTCCTTATTAATATC